GTGGTACTATTACTTCCCTTGATCTAGATGCTATACTCCTATTGATGCAGCCCAGAATTGCATTGGCTTTTTTAGCTGCCGCGTCACACTGTTGGCTCATGTCAAGTTTGTGGTCAACCAAGACTCCTAGATCCTTTTCACATGTACTGCTCTCAAGCCAGGTGTCACCCATCTTGTATTTGTGCCTCTCATTTTTTTTGCCCAAGTGCAATACTTTACATTTCTCCCTGTTAAAATTCATCTTGTTTGTTTTGGCCCAGTTCTCTAATCTGTCAAGGTCGTTTTGAAGTGTGATCCTGTCCTCTGGGGTGTTAGCCACCCCTCCCAGTTTGGTGTCATCTGCAAATTTGATCAGGATGCCCTTGAGTCCATCATCCAAGTCGTTGATAAAGATGTTGAATAAGACCGGGCCCAAGACAGAACCCTGTGGCACCCCACTAGTCACTCTTCTCCAGGATGAAGAGGAACCATTGATGAGCACCCTTTGGGTTCGGTCAGTCAGCCAGTTACAAATCCACTGAGTGGTAGCATAGTCAAGTCCGCATTTTACCAGCTTCTTCACAAGAATATCATGGGGCACCTTGTCAAATGCCTTGCTGAAATCAAGGTAGGCTACATCCACTGCGTTCCCTTCATCTACCAGGCTTGTAATTCTGTCAAAAAACGAGATCAGGTTAGTCTGACATGACTTATTTTTCAGAAATCCATGCTGACTATTGGTGATCACAGCATTCCTTTCTAGGTGCTCACAGACTGTTTGCTTAATGATCTGCTCCAGAATCTTCCCTGGTATTGATGTCAGACTGACTGGGCGGTAATTATTTGGGTCCTCTCTTTTCCCCTTTTTGAAAATAGGTACAACATTTGCCCTCCTCCAGTCTGCCGGGACTTCGCCTGTTCTCCAGGAATTCTCAAAGATGACTGCCAGTGGTTCTGAGATCACATCTGCCAGTTCTTTTAATACTCTTGGATGCAGTTCATCTGGCCCTGGAGACTTGAATACATCTAGACTAGCCAAGTATTCTTGTACTATCTCCTTAGTTATTCTGGGCTGTGTTTCCTCTGCTGAATCATTTGCTCCAAATTCTTCAGGTCGGGCATTGTTTTCTTTATCGGAGAAGACTGAGGCAAAGAAGGCATTGAGGAGTTCAGCCCTTTCTGTGTCCCCTGTTTGCATTTCACCATCTTCTCCTCTGAGTGACCCCACTGTTTCTTTGTTCTTCCTTTTGCTACGAACATACCCATAAAAGCCTTTTTTGTTGCTTTTAACCTCTCTAGCAAGCCTGAGTTCATTCTGTGCTTTAGCTTTTCTGACTTTGTGTCTACACGTGCTGGCTATTTGTTTGAATTCCTCTTTGGTGGTTTCCCCCCTTTTCCATTTTTTGTACACATCCTTTTTTAATCTTAACTCAGTTAAAAGTTCTTTAGATAGCCACCCTGGCTTCTTTAGGCACCTTCCATGTTTCCGTCTCATTGGTATTGCCTGAAGTTGTGCTTTTACTATCTCCCTCTTAACAAACTCCCAGCCATCATGAACTCCCTTTCCTTTTAGTATTACTGTCCATGGGATCTCACCCAGCACTTCCCTAAGTTTTATGAAGTCGGCTTTCTTAAAGTCAAGAAATTGAGTCCTAGTATGCTTGGCTGCTCCTTTCCGCTGTATAGTAAACTTCAGAAGAGCATGATCACTCGCGCCTAATGATCCTTCCACTTCTACCCCACTAACCAGGTCATCAACATTGGTTAGGACCAGATCTAAAATGGCTGTTCCTCTTGTTGCTTCTCCCACTTTCTGGACAATGAAGTTGTCTGCAAGTCCAGTGAGGAATCTGTTTGACCTTATGCTCTTGGCTGAGTTTGACATCCAACAAATATCCGGGTAATTGAAGTCCCCCATTACTACTATCTCCCTTCCTTTTGCATGCTTGGCCATCTGTTCCAGGAAGGCATCATCTATGTCCTCCGTTTGGCTTGGGGATCTATAGTAAACTCCCACAATGAGGTCTCTGTTATTCTTCTCTCCCTTAATTTTGACCCAAATGCTCTCACTTTGGCTTTGAGGTTCTAAATCTTGGATCTCTTCACAGGTATACACATCCCTGACATATAATGCCACTCCTCCTCCTTTCTTGTCTGGTCTGTTTCTCTGAAATAGATTGTATCCCTCCAATCAATGGACTTAAAATTACCTGTCTGTCAATTTCATTGGGGCTCCTGTATGACTAACTTGGAATATCACCCACAGATATGTCAATGTCACATGAACAAACTGAGCACCGTTTATTTAGTTAGTTCTTTCCACAGTGGACTCGTTTCTTAATTTTATTCAGTTCTTTCCTGAATGAACACTTTCCCTTTTGTACCACTTGAGTACTTGCGGGCAGCACGTAAGAAAGACAACACTCCAAGCTGTAGCAGGGCCCTGCCACATAATAAAATACAGTTTTCTTTGAATAAAAATGTGAAGCCTCTGCACTTAAACATTCACTGGTTTGCCTTATGAAGCAAGGCCTTCTCTCACACAGTGCTGCTCTTTCCAACACCCATTTGACAGTTGTTGTGGTGCTTGCTTGCTGGCACCTACTCAAGTCTCTTCAGCATCAGGAAACAGTTTTATTTTCCCAGGCCCTAACTCAGTGGCAGAACCCATCCTTTGCACACAGAAGAACTCAGGTTCATCTTCATGTAGGGCTGGGGAAAGAACCCTGTTTGAAATCCTGCTGAGATTCTCCCAGCCAGAGCAGAAAAAACCTGCATTAGATGGGTCAATAGTCTGACTTCTATAGGACACCTTCCTAAATGTTGGCTGGGGTGAGTTTTTAATCTTGTGGTTTTAGCTTATCTGTTTCAAATCTTGCTGTTTCTAATCCTACTATTTACTGCTTTTGATTTTATGTTACTAATTGCTTTATCATGTGTTGCTGGCTGCCCTGAAAGCAATTCTTACTGGCAGGTTATTTTTAAAAAGAAAAGAAATGAATGAATGAATGCATAAAATATCATGTTACCAATTATCCCATTAACTGTGCTGGACCAATGCTCTTGTAAAGGAATCAATTAAAGCGGGAAGTTATCCCGTTGCTGCTACAAAATTGTTATATGACGAGCCTTGCGTGTACCCAAGAGATTGTGTTCAGTGTTAAGTTTGTAAAGAAGCTGTAGCTGTGTTTAAAATTATGAAAGATTTGGAGTGCAAAAGTACATTGTCTGTCATGGACGCACTCCTATGAAGGAAGGATTCTCATCATCAAGTCTGCCACACTGACAGACGCTGCTTTCGGGCATTGATTGGTGTGATCATGGCACATTTTTCAGCTGCCTTGTTTGCACGAAACATTGCAGAGGCACAGTGACTGTAAACATGATCACAGCCGGTGATGTACTTCTTCCTCGATAACGGTTATATCCACAGAGCTACTTAAAGCATTTTGGAGAACTGGTCCTCAAAGGGATAAAAGAAACAGTGTGTCCTATGTTCCATAGATATGCACCCCTTTAAAAATGCTTCAGTTCAGTTCAGGCAAACTTAGTCATTTGCCTGGCTTCTTTCAGCTGCAGTCTCTGGTGTGGCCTCAGAACTTCACACACTATAAATCTCTTTGAAAGGAAATATGCATCAAAGCAGTTCACTCAGTTGTCTCTCCATGTTAGCCATTTCCCCAAACATTAAATGCATCCAGGTTTTCACTTTGCCTCCTTCCTCTCCCCCATACTGTTGGTGCCTTGCTGATCTCAGGGTAGCTAATCTCATGCCAGAGACAGATCACGAGGCACAGGAATGTAGTCTCACCTACTTCAGATAGAATCTGCGGTGGGAACTGGGAGTATCTGGGCTTCTCTCTATCTCTGTCATTCTAGGTGGCTGTTCCCTTCTTGTGTTCTTTTGTCGCTGAAGGGTGATGATAAGAGTTTATGTCATGCAAAGTCTCTGAGCTCACTTTTTTGTAACCCGAGACACAACCAAGGGTTAACCATCACCTCAATTGCCTGAAAGATGAATGTCACATGAGCAGAACTAACAAGAAACAGGGAAAGTGACACTTAATGTGTCACTTAACACTCAATACTGCATTAACTACTGAGTTGTAAGACGGTGGGGGAGGAAGAGAGAAAAGTGCCCTTGTTTGCTTCTCCTACATTTGAAATTAAAAGACCAAGTAAAAAAGGGGGCATTTTGATTTGCAATAAATTCTCATTCATGAAGGTGACCTTTTAATGACAGAAAGTGGGAAAAACTTTGACTATGCCAAAGGCATCCCTGCCTTATTAAACCACATCTGGGAGCATACCTTCGACCTCCAGCATCATTTAATGAAATAGAGAGGACAATAAAGGAACATCAAACCAGACTCTGCCACAAATTCAATGATAACAGGTTAGAACTTAATGAGAGAGGCCCGGCCACCACCTAAGCCAAAGTGTGTAAGTTGTCCTAGGAGTACTTGCAGGGTTGTTAATTTATGGTAAACCAGAATTTCCCTTTGGAATTGGCCATCTCTAGGGTATTAGAAAGGTTCCTCCCGAATGCTGCCTCTATGGAGGAGTGACCAGCCTTGGAATAATCAATGCAGTCAAGGGGCAGTTGTGTCCTTCTACCAGCCCCAGCCAACATGGCCAATGGTCATGGATGATAGGAGTTATAGTCCACAATATCTAGAGAGCATCACATTGGCTACCATTGGTTTAGTGGAAAATTATCAAAGAAAACCCCACTGAAGGACTTTGTGTTCTTTTTCTTTCAGAGTCTATGAGTTGTACTACCTCCAGTATCAAGAGGCTGCATGCCTCTGAGCACCAGTCAGAAGATTGCTATGGTCCTCATGTCCTGCTGGTGGTCTTCCCACCAGCAGACGGTTGACCATTATGAGAACGTGATGCTGAATTAATTGGGCATAGCATCTTTCTTATATTCTTAAATAAACCTTTTTAAAGCTTTTGTCAATTACACTTTTAATTAGTGATGCATACTCTTTGTGGAACGTCTGGATTGTGTGTAAGTGTTTGTTTCTTGTGATTTTTATTTCCACGTTTACAAAACACACACATGTTTTACTGTAAGAGTGACTTATGCAGTATACAATATGCAATCTCTTCCTTTCTCTGGCTTTCTGTCTGAATAGTCCATTTCGTTGTGTTCATTGTACAGCCGCAGAACTGATACTTCAGGCTTCATGGAGCTCCATGGCTTTGCACGAGCAAAACTGATTGGACTATTCTTGACACAGTCATATGCTTGAGTGAGTGATAACTGCTAAATACAAATGACATGATTCAATAAAGTCAGTTACTATAAGCCTTTTAAACTAGAAATCCCATGTGTGCCTGTCAGTGCAATTGACAGCTGAAAGTTCGTTTATGAAGATCTCAAACTAGACTTGACAGAACAATGAATCTCAAATTACATCTACACAGAAGCAGCAACTTGTAAAATATGTCTGACCTACCTTACAGTAGTCTATATCACTTACAGAAGGGACACAAAAAATACCTCCTGATTGTGTCTGTGGCAGCTCAAAAATCTTTTGTAGCCTATTTGTTGGTGCACAAGCAGCAAACTCCAAAGAGGAAGCTGTAGTAGTGTAGACAAAACTGTTGAAAGAATATCAAGCTAGAACCAAATTTATTAAAAAACTTTTGTTTCCTACAAAAATGACACCTTGGGGCATTATTTGCTTCCTTGAACATTAACTGGCTTATCCAAGTAAGAGAATTTACAGGCTTTCCATTAATAATTATGACAAACTACTTGCTGAAAAAGTAATGTAGTTAGCAAATTATTCATAACCCAGTCTTGGTCTTTATAATAATAATATATAAAAAAGAATATGAATGACAGATTCATTGCACAAGCCTAACTCTAAACTCCGCAGAATTCCATGGGGTAAAAATTCTTCCTAGCAATTTAATTACATGTTCCTTGACTTAATCAGATGTTGAATACCATTCTGAGATTTTGTTTCCTCTGGCGCTGGCATTTACAAATATTGCATTAGTGCTAACGTAGCATTTCAACAAAAATTACTCACATTGCTTGCTTTTGATTTGCCTTCCACAATAGCAACCCAAAGTAATAAACCATGCTGAAGCAGTTGAGACAGCATGTCCCCAGATCTCATTCTCCACAGCACAGTGCCACTTGAAAAATATTCTAGTATTTCAATATCAGTTCTGAATTTAATCAAAACATGTATAAACCAGAATAAACTTTGCTTGCAAGAGCCATGCTGGTTAACAGAACTGAAGTCAATTTACTGGGTTAATAAAAATCTAGCCACTATTATAATATTACTAAAGCGTAATAAAGTGCTGCACAGACTTAGCAATCTCTCAGTTACCAGTACAGGGTACTTACTTTATTGTCCTAGGGTGACATTTGCTGAGGTCCCAATGCTTTCTATGGAACCTAATCATGTGTAATTATGAAGTGGATTAAGGTAATTCAAAGCACCATCCTCAATATGTAAAATTTCAAACTAGACTGTGAGAATGTCTAAGGAATGAGATACAGTGAGTTTATACTATTATTTCAGAGGACAGCAACTTACTGATTGTTTCCTTAGAGAAAGCAACTGTTTCCCCATATCCTGGCAACAAAACATTTACACCCTGTGCAGTGCAAAGCTAAGCATGTCTACTCAGAAGTAAGCAGACTGGAATTTACACCCAGTAAGTGCGCTTTGGATTGCAGTTTTAGTTAACTATCTACTTCACCACATGATAGAGCATTTAGAAAGAACTCTTACCTATAACAGAATGGCGATGGCTTTGGGTGACAATTTGCCCTTCTAAAATGGTCTTAAAAATCCACTCACAGTATGTAAACGTATGTTGATTCTAGCCTCATGTAATTTAGGGTACCCTTTCTCTTTTTTGTCTGAACAGAAATACAAGACACCATGAAAAAAGTGATTATGTGAACACATTAGAGTTTTGTGTGTGTGTCTTGTGTTCACTAATCAGGTGAGAAGTCTGGAGTTTATACTCCTACAAAGGAAACACTAGACACTCTTTCGTGCAAGCCAAAATTAGCTGTCAGTTTCTCCATGGACATTTTCCATGTGTACTTTGAGGTAGTCGTTTCTTGTAAACTTTTTGTGGCATAGCTGGCATTCCGCCATGGGGCGATTGGGATTGTGAGTCAGTTTGTGCCGGATCAGCATTTTCTTCAGGCTGAACGACAAGTCACAAACCTAAAGCAATGATAAAAAGACAAAAAGGAAACCAGTGGATTGTTGATGATTCATAAGAAAATTTCATAAGTAGACATTTGAGCACCCAACATTATGCGCAACCCAGATTAAGCAATAGGGTAACATTATCCACCATTTCTGAACCAGGGATATGCTGGTTACTTAATTAATCTTTTATCTAATCATATAAGAAGGCTTTAGTTGTATATCTGGATTGCACCACTGTAGAGCTGCCTCCTTTTTCCCCTGGAGAACACAGCAAGGCTGTGTGGCTTTATGAGATCACACAGTTTGGATATAAAGAAGGTAACCACTCCTTCACTATTTTGCTGCTCATCCTCTCTAACGTTAAGCAAGTGACTATCTCTCATCCTCAACTAGTGAGAAAACTAGTAAGAAAGCTAGTGAGAAAACTAGTATAGCAATGCATGGAGGAAAAATCATCACTCCACAAACCAGTAACCAGGGGTGGACCAATAGCAACCACAGAATAAGACCAAGCCAACCGTTGTTGTCTCTACTGTCTCTACTGAAACACTTAAGAACCTGGTAAGTTGCTCATCTGTGTTCACTAAGAGAAGTATGAAGAACAGGAAGTGGAAGTCACTTCCACTAGGCTTGACAACATTTGAACTGGCCCTGAAGTTGTCCTTTGAAAAGTATTTGATCTTCAGCATGAGCAGATGGTCATATTTACCTCCATACTGCTGATTTCTGTATCTCAAACCTCGGATAAAGAGAGAGAACAAGGCTAGGCTATTATTTTTCTGGACAGTTGGTAGCAATGTCTGTACTTCCTGCTCCCTCCCAAAGTAATTTTCTGGTCTAAGGGTTTAATTTAACAATAATATAACTACTTGCACTTATGAACTGCATGAGAAGTAAAACTCAGGTGAGGCTGATGTTTGAACAGTGTCTCCCTACTAGGGAGTTAAGCAGTGTTCTATCTTCCCAAGGATATATAGTATTATTCATTGTGCAAGCAAAAACAATACAATGACATACTGAATGAGAAAACATACAACGCATCCTGACTGCTGAGTTTTTCTCTGTAAGACCAATGATTAATGAACTGCTTTCCATAACCCTTTGTAAACAGTACCAGCATACTTCTGTCAAGGTGTAAGAATGCTGCATCAGCATCATTTACAGGTATAATTTTAAGGAGTGCCATTTAAACCCTGGAAGAAAAGAGTATTTGCCCTAAAAGGAATTTGTCTCAGAAACTCTTATTCTTTCCTCACTATGTTCAATGACAGGCGCTGTCCAATGGTCGGTTCTGCTCCAAACGGGCCTTTTTTAGTAGATTACAAGTTTGAATATGGAGGCTTAATGCATTCCCAGTTACCAGAAGACCTAAGGATAAGTGCAATGCAATCAGATGATCATTACCCACATCTAGGAAAAGCAGTTGTGTGCAACCTCTACAGTGCACCATTAAATTAAACAACCACAGACCCAAGTATTCCCTGTGACCAGACTGGAATTTTCAAAATGGCTAGGGCTTTCTCTCTTTAATAGATGTCAAGGGATGGGGAAGAACAAGCAACGAGACAAATACTCTATCTCCTAATGCTTAACACACTACTGCAAAGGGCCGGAGAAGGCAAGGCACTATTGCAGCTCCATACTGTAATGGCTCCTTCTGCCATGCAAATGGCAGTACCCATATTAGTCTTTTACAGCAAAAACAAGACTTAAGACTTTCAGGTAAATTCATACTTTCAACTAGCTCTGCTTGGAACAAACTAGTTTTAATGACGGCAAGGAGATGGAAGATCCAGTGCACTGTGAATCGTCTCTATGGAAATGAGGACGATCACCATAGAATCTTGGAATTGGGACCCAATGGTCACCCAGTCCAGTTGCCTGCAATGGGTGTGGAACTTGTGGCTCTCCAGGTGTTGCTGGACTACAGCTCCAATCATCTGTGATCCTTCGCCTTACCAGCTAATGGCAGTTAGAGGCCAACAACATCTGGAGGGACAGATGTTCCCAACCCTGATTTATAGCATGCAGTAGACTTTACGGTCCCATACCCTTTAGCAAAATCAGTTCCCTTTTTTATATATATATTGGATCCTATTTTTGCCTTTTGGTGGCGTCTTGTACAAATGTTGGTAGTGTGATATAACGTAATTCTCGTAAGTGTGCATGTGGGATGTTTGTGTGGATGCAGCTTGCCATTAATGTAAAGGTAAAGGTAATGGTATCCCTGACCATTAGGTCCAGTCGTGACCGACTCTGGGGTTGCGACGCTCATCTCGCTTTATTGGCCAAGGGAGCCGGCGTACAGCTTCCAGGGCATGTGGCCAGCATGATGAAGCCACTTCTGGCGAACCAGAGCAGCGCACGGAAACCCCGTTTACCTTCCTGCCAGAGCGGTCCCTATTTATCTACTTGCTTCGATGTGCTTTCGAACTGCTAGGTTGGCAGGAGCAGGGATCGAGCAATGTGAGCTCACCCTGTCGTGGGGATTCGAACCGCTGACCTTCTGATTGGCAAGTCCTAGGCTCTGTGGTTTAACCCACAGCGCCACCCGCATCCCTTAATTAATGTACAGGCATGTAAATAGATGTGCATGAATGCTAAGGCAGCATGCAGCGCACAGCCAACCATTTTACAGACTGCAGCAGCTGTACTGTATTTTGAACTGCTGATAAAGATATAATTAAAACAAAACACAAGTTAAACAAAAGAACAGGCAGTGTCTTGGCTCCTAAATCAGTGAAGGGCAGGCAATTTCAGAGTAAACAAATACAGCTGGGTGAGTAGAGCCTTCAGCAATGTGTGATAATAGGCTCAGGCAGTGATCCTTACTATGGAGTACACGGGAAATGACATGTCCCTATTTTCACCTGGGACATGTTGAAGGGCCTGCAGTCTCTGCCTTCTCTGTGTTATTATAACATGGTCAAATGGAATCATGTGGACCACTGGACCACACTGATTAAATACTGACTGTGACTTTTGCACACTTAAATGGCAAGTATAAAATGCCTCTTTTACCAAAATCATGAAACCTCTAACAGATGTAGATGCTGCAAATAAACACATTTAACCCAGTAAGTACTACCGATGACCACATTTGCATGAATGTATATGTTTATGCAGCATCATAGACACATCGTTCATCTTCCTGGAAATAAATTCTAGGAATATCATCTTCAGCAGATGTGCTGTGTCAAATTCTGCTACCAGTAAGTAGTTCTTAATGAGTCTCAATCATACAAGTGATGACAGTTTAACAATGGCACATTATCTTTGCAAAATGAGAAGAATAAACTGCTTACAGATGCACACTTAATACCTATCCCTCGCTGAGCAGTAAATTCTTCTTGATATGCTATAACTGTAACATTTCAAAAGCCTGCAAATAAATAAAGAAGTGTGCACTGCCAAGGTTAAAACAAAACAAAGAAACAGTACAAAGAGTTTGCAAAGTGATAGCTGAAATGCATGGAGAAAATTATAAGATGGGTTGCCTCAAACAGGAAAGGTGAGTCATGCAAAATACAACTTTTCTGTGACATTCTGAAAAGCTGAAGTTTGAAAGCAGTTTTTTATTAGCTGAGATGCTGTTCTAGATTCTAGAATCTAGCATCAAAAGCTGAAAGTAAAGGCTTTTGAAACATGCTGAGAAAGAATTTAATGTAGCTAATTTAATGTAAAATGTGTTTAAATGTCTAGTGTGAGAATTTAAATGGGCAGTTTAAGTATATGCATGCTAAATTCTGGACAGAACAAGGAAGCATCTCAGTATGAGAAATGTACATTTAGAGTTGAATTGCACATTCAGAAATATCACATGGCGTAGCCTTTCCTTGCACTGTACCAGTTCAGACAGCAAGCTGAGGATCAGATGTTTGAATGATCATCCTCCCAATGCAAAAATCTTTTGTGAAGGGAAAGGGTTCTAGTCTTTGGCCAGGTCTGTCAGCTTCCCCCAGTTTTGAAATATGTCATCCTTAGAAGTGGCTCATTGGCTGGAGCAGAGACGCCATACTACATTCCCTGTAGATAGGCTGCTATTGCTTCTCAGGAAGGAGGGGGCAGGGCAGCAGGGTAAATGCAACAGCAAAATCAAAGTTTAACCTCCCTACTGTCTCTTCTCTCTAAGTAAGCAACCCACCTGCCAGGAAGCTAGTGCAATGGCTCTGCCTAGGGCTGGCCCAAGACATTTTGTCGCCTGAAGCAAACAGTTCCCCACGTCCACCAGGGAAGAAGGGTTAAGTGTAGATCTACATCAGGAACAAGGGGGTGGGATAAAGATCTACATTAGACACAAGGGTGGGGGACACCAGCAGGGCCTCCTACTCCCCAAGAGGCTGCTATAGAGGTGGGATTGGGGTTGAGGAATGCCAAGGAGATGGCAGATCCAGTCTCCAAGGAGCATGTCACAGCTGGCAATGCATTCCTTGGAGGCTGGATCCACTGCCCCTGTGGATCTCGCTGCCTGAAGTTGTTGCTTCACCTTGCTTCATGGGTGGGCCAGCCCTGTCTCCCTATAGCATGGAAACTGGAAGAAGAAGAAGAAGAAGAAGAAGAAGAAGAAGAAGAAGAAGAAGAGGAGGAGGAGGAGGAGGAGGAGGAGGAGGAGGAGGAGGAGGAGGAGGAGTTTGGACTTGATATCCCACCTTTCACTCCCCTTAAGGAGTCTCAAAATGGCTAACAATCTCTTTTCCTTTCCTCCCCCACAACAAACACTCTGTGAGGTGAGCAAGGCTGAGAGACTTCAGAGAAGTGTGACTGGCCCAAGGTCACCCAGCAGCTGCAGGTGGAGGAGCGGAGACGCGAACCCAGTTCCCCAGATTGCGAGTCCACCACTCTTAACCACTACACCACACTGGCTCTACACCACGTTGGAAGGGGAAGAGGAGCAGAAAATATATATATTTTTAATGCCCTATGGGGTCTTCTGTCCAAGAAGCATGTTTAAAAATGTGGTGGAAGAAGGATGCAGAGGCACCTCAATGGAGAGATGAAACACACATACACAA